GGCAGTAATGCAGGAAAAGCTGCTCAAGCCTTGAATACTTGGAGGAAAAGGCTCGTTTCAGCAGCAATGCTGTCAGTCGATGTGCACTGAACTGAGGAAAAGTCTTGAACCACAGAAAGGGAGACTTTCGGGGAAAAAAGCAAAGCAAAGCATTTCATTCCCACACTCTCCATAAAACACTTGACATCTAAGTGCTTTCACTGTGCTTTAGAAAACACTTTTAAAACAGAGGGAAATCATGACAAAATTAAACTAAACTCATTTCAGGCCACGTAAAATGCTTTCGCAGAAATTCTGTCCCCTCTTGGTCAAGCCCAGGAGGATTTTCCCCTAATTGCAGGTGCAATCATAGGAACAAAAGGCAAGGGCTTTTTGGTGTCTGTTTAACTACAGCGTTTGCACAGATCTAGAAGCCGTTTGTCTCTTCATCACGCTGTCCTGATGTCAGGAGTCATTTGCTGGAGGCAAGTTTACAGAGAGGCAGCTAGATGGGGGTGACTCTGAGGGAAGTAGATGTCTTTTCATTCAACGCCATCTCAGGTCCCTTTACAACCCACTAGAATATTTAACCATTGCCCAAACCATATCCCCAGTCCAAGTAGTTACATGCCTTTGCTGGCAGCGTTGTGACATTCCGCGGTGGCTGGTACGTTTATGTCTCGAGCATTTACAAACAGGGAACGGAGCATGGGCTAAATGAAATGACTCATCCAGATCTCAGAGCGAGTCTGTGGTTGACCAGGGATGTGACTCAAGGTCTCCTGAGCAAGAGGTCAAACCACGCCAGGAGTTCTTGGCTCTAAATTTACAGGTCATCAAAAATATTCTACTTTTGTGGAGAGGTGGGGCTTGACAGGGGGTTGAGATCTTGCTCTTCCCATGGTCTCAGTTACCTTTTGGAGACACCTTAAAAGCAACCCATGGATGCCTGGCCAGTCCAGACAACAGTAAAAGCTGCAGGGCTGGCTCCAACATCATGGACACTGAGGAATTCTCTCTGAATTAGCTGGAGGGGTGATGATCACCCTTCCTTCTTCCACACCGTCCCTTATAGGACGATCCCGAAGCACTTAGGGCTGTGCAACGTCTCTGCCGTGACAGCACCAGCTGTGGGCACCACAGCATTGGGGCCACCTTGGAGGACAGGGAAGCACGGGTGGAGGCCAGTGGTGTGCTTGGAGGAAGGGGTCAGTCAGAGGTGGACTAGCTAGGGAATATCCCAAGTTGGCCAACACAAGCAAGGAAAGGGCTTTGGAAGAGAAAGGGGAAGGGAACGGTCTCCTAACATCAGCTGAGTCCAAAAGTCTGCTCTGCTCTAACGGGGCCAACTGCCTCTGTCACCCCAGGAGACCCAGCAGAAGGACAGAGGAGAAGAGCATCCAGGTTCAACCCATCTGCCTCTTTCTCTCCTGCCACGCCGCCAGGAATGGGCTCATTCCCATGGATGTGATCCAAGAAAACCCCACGTGTTTCACAGACTCAGCCGGATCAGACCATCCCATTGAGCCTGACCCAGCAATTTTGCTAACCCAGCCACTTCACCCCTCTAAGACCTCCTCCACCCTCCTTCCAAACTTACAAACTATCCAAATTTTTAGAGAGCTTGGGGGTGGGAGAGGGGTGAGAAGGACGGGAGACCGGACTACACGTTCGCTTTGGTTCCTTTAAATGCAAACTTCAAAGGGCAAGAGAAAGTCAGGTAGCACCTTCAGATCTCAGCAAAAGAGGAGTCCTGTTGCAACACGAAACTCTTTGGTCAGACAGAAAACCACACAAGCTTACTGCCTCTAGTGTTTATTAAGGTATGCCGCATGCCAAAGGAGAAAGGCTAAAGCGAACAAGCGCAAGCTTTCCTATGATCACAATGAAAAGGTAAACCCTGAGCAAAACTAGACATTTTACAACATATTCTGAAGAACATGGGTGAAACTTCTGGTATCTTGCTTAGAAAAAAAAACCAAACTGCAGCGGGGTAAGAAATGTCTTCAGCTGGGACTAGTCACCATTAGGAAATTCTTGTTTGGGAGCTCCAGCCCTGGCTGATGAGTAGCACCGATTAAAATTGCACCACATCTGGATCCAGCACAAGATCTTGAAAGAAGTCAAGTCTTTGCTCAGGCTTCACCAGGCACAAGTTCTCGGAGCACCGCATGGACCAGTCCCCTCTACCCATCGCTGGTAGGGTGCCTCTCACTTGGACCACGCTGCGTTATAGCTTTATCCCAGCCGCACTTGGGGCTTTGCGGTGGACGGGCAGGGCCTGCTTCCAAACGAGTCCCAGCACCCTGATGACCAGCAGCTTTGCAGTGTCTGAGGCGGTCATGGGGAAGCAAGCCAGCCTCCAGCACTGCTGAGGATCTCAGTCATTAGCTGGTGAATATAGCCATATTTTACTTTTCTGTGCCGTTTCTGAAGGATGGCGGTGGTTTAAAGTGAAGTAGGTGGCCATCACCTTGGCAATGAAGGGGTGGTGGTGGTGATCATGAAATTTGCTTCCTTTCTCCTTTGGGTGCCGGGGAGGGGTGAGATAGCTCCCTTTCCTAGACCCTCCAGTTGACAGTCGTAGACCTGGTGGTGTTATTCATGATGGTGCCAGACCCCCCCACCACTGAGTTACACCCACCACCCACAGAGCCGAATCCTGCCCCTCCAGAGCTGGATCCACCCCCAGCGCAGAACTCGACTCCTCTGGAGTCAAATCCGCCCCCCCCTAGGCTGTAGCAGAAGCCAGCACCGCCTGTGTTACAGCTGCCTTTCCCACTTCCAGCACCGAATCCGATTCCTCCTCCTCCTCCAAGGCACAGTCCACTGCCGTATCCGCCTCCCACAGAGCTGCTGCCACCTCCCACCACAGCTGCAGAGAGGAACAGAAGGCACAAGGTTACCTCTGATGACGCCATAAAGTTTTGGAGCATCAATCCCAGCCCACCACGCTCCCTCGGGAGCGGGGAATGCTACTTACAGATGTTCGTGATGCTCTGACACTGTCCAGACATCCTGCAAGGAAAAGAGATGGAGCATCAGCTCCAGCCAGGGCATCTGGAGTGGTCCAGCTCCATGAAGCCAGGCTTGGCCGGCCAGACCACGGGCATCAATAACGGCAGCTATAGGACGGTATTCCATAGCTAATGGCAACACCATTTATATTTTAATAGAGGAGACGTGACATGCCGCATTCTTCCCATTGATTTAGCGGAATGCAATCAAACTCTTGCTGTATCCTCACCCACCTGCACTCCTCTCCTTCCAGCAGCTTCCTGTAGGTCGCGATCTCAACATCCAGGGCCAACTTGACGTTCATGAGCTCCTGGTACTCACAGAGCTGCCGGGCCAGGTCTGTCTTGGCTTTCTTCAGGGCTGACTCCAGGTCAGTCAGTTTGGCCCTAGCATCCGTGAGGGCCAGCTTCCCACGTTCCTCAGCATCCCCGATGGAGCTCTGCAGAGTTTCACACTGGAGGGCAAGACATGGATGTGATGAGTGGGGCGGGGGCAGCCGGTCAGAGGTGAAGCCATGATCCCAGATCACTTGGGCTCAGCTAGTCACAAATACAACAGGATCCCTCCCACTTACAGTGGCTGTTACCAGTCTGTTTGCTTTTAGGGAAGCTCTGAAGGGCATTAGCAAGAGCTCACACCCATTTCTCAAAAAATGCAACCCCTACCTGTTTCTTCACGCTCTCGATCTCAGCCCGTATCCTCTGGATCATGTGGTTGAGCTCAGAGATCTCAATCTTTGTGCTCTTAAGGCTGTCTCCGTGTTTGCCTGCGGTAGCCTGCAGCTCTTCATACTGGTAGGCAGAAGTGAGAGGACTACGTTAGGTCCACCATGAGCAGCTTCTCACAATGGCTCTCCGTACCACCCCATGCAAGCCAAGGTGAGCGTGCACATGCCAGCTCCAGTCTGGCCAGATCAGTACCAGCAACATCCCAGGTCTCAGCATGGTCTGAGCTACCACCAATAACTCTTCCACCTCCTCAGCCATCGATAATCACAAGCAAGGTGTGGAGCACTCACCTTGTATCGGTACCAAGACTCGACCTCCACTCGGCTCCTGTTGGCAATCTCCTCGTATTGGGCTTTGACCTCTGCAATGATGCTCTCCAGGTCCAGGTTTCGGTTATTATCCATGGAGACAACCACAGAGGTGTCAGAAACAGACTTCTGCATCTGAGACAGCTCCTGTAATTCACAACAGATCTGGCTTTAGCCCTGCCATAATTTCCTTACAGTGTCAAAACCCTTCTCCATCCCAGCATCCCCCTCCAGAGAGCAGCTGGACCACTCACCGCTTCGTAAAGATACTTCAAGAAGTTAATCTCATCTGCCAGAGAATCTAATTTTGCCTGGAGTTCCACCTTGATCGTATAGACTGCATCCGCGTCCTGCAGGAGAAATGGGAAGTGAAAGCCTTTGTCCTGACGCGCGCCGTTCTAGCTATCATTTGCCTGAGCCCTTTGGTGCTCCGTCTCCCCGTGGCGCATACCTCTAGGGGTCCCGGTTTATGTCTGATGCTAACAAACCAGTGCTGATGGAAGCAAGACGTCCTCTGAACCAAGATGTGTCTTTGTGGTAAAAAAAAAAGTACTTTACCTTTTTTAGGAGCAGAAAAGCATTCTCCGCAGCTGTCCTTTTGTTTATTTCCTCTTCGTACCTGTTGATTATAACGAGGTAGATTGAATCTGCCTGCTTGTTTTGGCTCTGGCTGCTGCTGGCAACTAGACGCTGTTGGCCTCAGACTAATGAACGCAGCAAAAATAGACCTGCCACGAGCGAGATTTATGGACAAGCAATGGCACTTCGCCTTTCTAGATGAGCCCTGGCCCCTGCCATATCCAATGCCTTGCTCAAGAAAGCCTGCAAAAAGGCATCCTATCGCTGCCTAAACGGAGTCCTGGTGGCTGTGGCCACTCCAACTCCTTCTACAAGACCCAAGGACTTTCAGGTCTTCGACATGGGCCATTTCCTGCTGCTCATTGGGGCTGGTAATTGCTGCAGAGCGTTGAGCGGTGGAGATCATCTGCAAAGTCAATTTTCAACCTGCAACCTCAGTAGAGCAAGGGATCGGGTTGATCCTGACGAGTCCCAGACTTGTTTTCCCACTATTTTTTGTAACTCCTTCAGTGGAAGCATTTCTCCAGGCTTTGTTCTTGCTTTTCCAACTGGACAAATGAATCTAATAAGTAATAGCAGGAAAAGAATCTTTTTTTTTTTTCTTTTTACCCCACATCATCCTTCCAAAGAAAGCTCTAAGCTTCAAATCATGAAGGATATTATGGGAAAGAATCCATGAGGAAACCCATGAGGAAATTATAGTAGGATTTAGCAACGGATCTAATTAGTTCATTAAATCATAATGTCATGGATTCTTAAGTGAGGAAGACAAACAGCAGAGGATTCTGCTTTAGTGAGAAGCGTAACTCAGACAACAATACGTATTGAGAAATACCTTGAAAAATCACCGCCTATTGTCAAAACTCAGTTGATGAAAACTTCCCCAAAACCTTTTACATTTTCTACTCATTGAAACAAGTGAAATATTGCCAATTCTTATGATTCTTTCAATTGCCTGATGGTTCAAAGTCAGTCTTTATCTCAGCTTTTTCACCACCAGCCAGCCCAACCGTGACTACACAGAGAACAACATACTTGGTCTTGAAGTCCTCCACCACATCTTGGAAGCTCTTCAGCTCTGACTCCAGCTGAAGCTTCTCGCTTGAGAGAAAGTCCAGCTGCTTCTTCAGCCCGCTGATGTAGCTTTCAAAAACGGGGTCGAGGTTCCTGCCACCCGTCCCTGTGCCACCCTGCTCCTGCAGGAGTTTCCACTTGGTCTCCAGGACTTGGTTCTGCTGCTCTAGGAACCGGACCTAAATGATTGCAGGGGTGGGTAGAAAAAGAGTCAGACTATTCCCAAAAGCATCTTTTTATTGATCTTTTTCTCTCATTTTCCATGATATTTCCCATTTAATGAGTTTAACCTTCCTGCCTATTTTCATCTCCAGTGAGCAATAACTCCAGGGTCCCACTGGACAGGTGGGGCCACAGCTCTAGGGTGAGTGGGCAAAGGTGGGTGACCTTCCCTCTCCAATCTCACAGTCTCTGAACAGGAGCAGCACAGTGAACTTCATAGTTTTGGCATCTTCTCCTTAAAAACAGGCCAAAACACCCAAAGTACTTCAGCCCACGGATGGACAGAGTCCATCAGCAGAGACTTCTCTGAGGATGCTCTGCCTGTAGGTACACGGTCCCACGGCTTAGCGCCAGCATCGTGGTCTTAAGAACCAAGGGTCCTGTTCCTGGGTTTCTCCCTAACCTTGGGAAAGTCACTTCTTCAGCCACCATCTCTCTGTCTGCAGGGGTTCTTTAGGGTGGTCTGGGCAATGCCTGGCTCTCAGGGTTTTGTTGGATGGGTATCTCCCAGTAATTGCAACCAGCATGAGCCATGGTGAGCTCAGACCTCCACCTTCCAGCCCCGGGTTGAAGCCACTCTCACCTTGTTAATGAAAAAAGCAAATTTGTCGTTGAGCTGCTTCATCTGCTCCCACTCTTGTCTTCGCACCTTCTGGATCTCAGGGTCAATTTCAAGGTTGAGTGCAGCCAGCAGGCTCTGGTTGATGGTCACTTCCCTGATGCCGCCCGGTGGGCAAGGGGGAAAGCCTTGACCTCCCATCCCGCCATCAAATCCTCCACCAAAGCCACCAAAACCTTCACTGAAGCTGCCTCCGGCCCCACCACCATAGTAGCCTCCAAATCCTGCCCCAGCACTGTAGCCGTAGCCAAAGCCTCCTTGGCCACCAGCTCCAAAACCTCTGTAGACACCACCACCTCCACTGAACCCTCCCAGAGAGGCACTTTTACTCCCTCCCAAGCAATAGAGGCTCCTGCTGCTGAAGCCACCGGCGTTGCCAGGTCCCCTGCATCGCCCACGGGACACAGAGCCAAACGCGTTCCTCCCTCCGAAGCAAGCAGAGCTGGAGCTGAATCCCTTGCTGAGACCACAGGACTGGCGAGACATGGTGACGGGTCCCCAGCAATCAACGG